CGAGGGCTTAACTAACTAGCCTCAAATTCTGCTTTTCACAAAAGTGGTAGATGTTCCTGAGCAGCTCATTAGCCCCTTTCTCTGGCCCCTTTCATTTAGAAAGCACACTGCCACTGTCCCTGGAGGCTCCATTCATGGGCCTGTCTATCATGCGCCCATTTTACAGATCGGTAAGTTATCCCTGGACCACAGTGCCGAATTCTGCATCTATCACGCCGGTGACTGAGAGGGAAAATCTGTAGGGTTATGATTGCACTATAATAGATTTCCTCAAAATTGGTTGGCCCGGCAAAAGAAGAGATGCACAGATGACCTTGGACGCTGAATCTTGAAGGTGGGGACTCCAAGCCTTTTCCATCTGGACTCTGGGATTTTTCTGCATGGTGGAGAAGTGGTCTTAACCGCCTTAAGGCCTCCAAAGGGGTGGATTTCAGCCTTCGCCGTTTCTGGCTGGGCTGTCTCCTGGCTAGCAGTTATGGGTTGACAGTCCAACGATGGACGCTGAAGCCGCAGCAGTGGCAGATGATCTCTTAGGTTCCCTCCAACCCTTCCCTTCTGTGTTTCTATGATCAGGAATAATTTCCTATCAGTGCCAGCTGTTCTTCTCGGCCACAGCCCCTGCCCTCCGGACTGAGGTTCCCCCCAGAGATCCAGACGGCTCCTACCTATTGAGGACCTGGCTATTCTCCCACGATTTGGGGCAGGATGACAGCTGTGCCCCTCGGATTATTTTTTTCATTATGATTATTTATATTTCTTTTTCTGGATTGGCCTCTCTTTTCTATGGCGATTTTTCTTATTGTTTAAAATTGCAAGCTGCCCAGAGCCATTAGGAATTGGCCGTCCTCTAAAGGTGTACCAATGAATTAAAAAAATAAAAATAAAGAAGAGAGAGAGAAGACTCTCCTTTGCTGGAGGTGTTTAAGCAGAGGCTGGACAGCCATCCCTTGGGGATGCTGCCGCAGGGGGCTAGACTAGATGATCTCTTCAGATCCCTTCCAATCTTCCTCTTTGGGGACTATGATGAATATTTCTTGAAAACACTCAGCTGGGAAAATCTGTGCAAAACTCCGAGCGGAATGAATTCAGCTGGTGTTGCAGTTCTTGCAGAAACTCCGGGGTACCCTCCTCCGTATTCAGCTGGCATTGTCACTATTGCTCAATATACAGAAAATGAAAATTAGAGATGTGAAAGTTTAGCAGCATAACGAAAGTGGCGCATTTTCCATTAGAAGCTGATGATTACCTAACAGGGAAATCTTAATGTAGAAAATTACAGGAATAAAAAGAATGCCTCGTTTTTAAACGTAAGAGCCAATCCATCAATGTTGGTGGAGTAAACCCTCATTCATGGCCCATCTTAGTGTATCGTGCCCAAGATCTCTTTGGCAAAAGGGACCTTTTGGCAATAGATTAAATCAGTGTTTCTCAAACTTGGCGACTCTGCGTGGGGGGGTGTGTGTATTCACTCACTCACACACCCAC